ATGGAGGAGCTGCAGAGATCAGTGTTCAAATCTGAACTCAAGAAACTATGAAAACGAGAATTACTGAAAAGGAAGCCATAAAAAACAAATCACAACAAACCTGTGGAACAAGGTGCTGTGGTCACATGAGACCGAAACTGAGGCTACATACGAAATGGGACACAACACATCAGCTTTAGATGATGAAACATGATCGCGATCGTGAAGCCTGTCTTTGGTAAATACAGGAAAGCAGAGGTTCATCCTGCAACACAAGCAGAACTGCAGCAGGATGGCTTGGCTTAAAAAGCACATTCGTTTCTTTAAATGGTCTAGTCAAAGTCCAGCATTAAATCAAACTTAAACTAATCTTCTGCATGTATTTTTACCAAGCTTGTGTAATTTTCTCCAAAATTTTCCAGAAAGATTCAGACTGTTCTGTAGAGTCCCGACCCTGGAGGACTGGAAACAAACCTACTCGCTCTTTTTCAGATTTGCATTTGCTAAGAATTGTGAAACTAACTCGCCGTTTTCCTTCCACTTCACTACAACGCGTGATGGTGATTATGTGCCAAAGTTAAAGGAGTTTGGCCAGAGCCACGGCCTCCGTATGAACTCATGGGACTCAGATGTTTGACCTTATAACAGAAGGTGGTTCCCCCGCCTGCTGTGGGGAAACTGCGTACCGTCAGCCTCAGGCGCTGATGAGGAATACCTAATGGTATCGGCCTCAGGATTTGTGAGCGAGGAAATGATTGCTATTAAAATAAATGACTTTCGTTTTCCTCTAAGCAAGAGGTTTCCGATTGTTTCAGCACAGTCTGACGAGTCGTCACACTTCCCTAAACCTGCTTCTCTGGTCCGCTCGCCTAAGGGGGGGTTTCCCTGCTGCTGAAGGGGAAAAACCAACAGAAAGCAGAGCTGTGATTGACTGGTTTCTCTCTGTGCTCTCTCTCTACGCCACAGCTATGCCATCATTATGTGGGAGGTGCTATCCAGGCAGATTCCCTATGAAGGTGACTCCTCTTTGCTCCCAGACCTGCTTCCATGCTTATCTTCTCTCTTGTGTTGAAAGTGAACGTTTTACTCTCTGTTCAGAGGTGACCAACCCCATGCAGATCATGTTCAGCGTGCTGCGGGGGAAACGTCCCGACACCAGCCAGGACAGCCTGTCTGCAGACATCCCCAGCAGAGAGACGCTCATCAGCCTGATGACGAGCGGATGGACCGCTAACCCCGACGAGCGGCCTTCTTTCCTCAGTAAGGAGAGAAGAGAAATATCACTCCTACACCTGACCTTTATTTTTCTTATTCTCATTGCTATTATTGGCCAAGTCAGCTTTCAGTGCATTTCACTGTCACAGCCTGTCTGTAAAATAAACAAAGAGGAATGTCAAGATAAGAGCGAAACTGCTGAGATGTGTCATGGCTCATTGCCAGCTTCTTAGCAGCAGCTTAAAGGAATAGTACACCCAAAACATGATTAGCCTTCATTTTCTACTCACCCC